TTGGTCGTTTTGAACAGTTTTTTCTTCGGTGGTGGTTATGGCCGAAACCTGCATCTCTAAATGGGTGTGAAACACAATTAAAGGCAAGCGGCAGGATAAATCGACAAGTGGTACAGGGTGTTGCGCCGAGCACGAGAGCATATCGTGCCCCTTGGCCAGCGCTGCGCTGTGTGAGAGGGAAGTCTCTTCTGTCGATGGGCACAGTCAAGCCGTCATTCCCTGATCGTCTTTCGCGTTCTTTTCATTCCCTCATTTGTTCAGAAGCTGAAAATGTCGAAGCTAAACACGTATTTTGAAATGCTTTCTTTTTTCGGCACTATTCAACTATTACTACCCCAAAAAGTCAAAAAACATTTTTTTGACAGAGGTAATTCGGTGCACTGATCACGAATATAGCACTCGTCTTTGGTGCCGTCACCTTTCTCACCAAATTCGTTGTAAATTTGCATATCAGGATTATTTGATGTCCTGATCCCGAATATCGAATTAGTTTTCAGCCCTGACGCCGTCTGGCGCCATTAGGCGCTGATTTGGCCCCACACCCTTCTTTATCAGAATCGATAAAAACCCTGCATAGTGGGGTTGTTTGATGCCCTGATCACGAATATGACATTTGTTTTCGGACGCTATCGCCATATAGTGCTTCTCTAAGGCTGAGCCCGGGAGAAAGAGTGATTTCCTGCAGGTCGGGCCAGCCTCAGCAGAGCGCAGATGATCGCAGCGTCTTCCATCAGCGCCAGCGCCAAAAATGAATGTGATAGTTTGTAACCAATATGTCAAATAACCACCGTATACAAGTTTTCAGCGGATTTGGTGCTTTCTAAGGTCATTTGGCGCGGTGCCTGTGGCGGGCAGGGCCGGCGAACACTTTCAGGCCATTCGTGATATTCGTGTCCAGGAGGTCGAACTACCCCTAGAACCCAACTTTCAGCCAAATCTGCCCCCGTAGAAAAAAAGTCGATCAAGATCCGGCCTGTTTTCGGATAAATGGGGTAGGAATATTGAAGTAGTATTGCCTTTTTCTTCGCCCTTCCTCCAGGAATAAATTAGTTTCATATTTCCGTAGTTTCAAGCATATTCAGTGAATTGTAATAATTACACTAGCTAGCTTTCGTTCCAACTATATCAGATGATTGTATTTCACATCTGCCCGAGCCCGAACTGGAAGCATTTCAACAGCTATCAGAAGCCCCTATGGTGTAATTTGGCCCCATACCTCAGGTTATCTACGACATCTCGTCAGTCGGCTCCCAGTGAATCCAGTTCTCAGTTCCTACGCCTGATCACCAAGCGACGCAGTAAAGTTCTACCTAGCCTTGACTCGGCATCAGCTGAGGCATTGATGTTTATTCTTCGGTTACTTAACTTGCTCGCTGCTTATGTTCATCACGCATAATGGCTCAGCACTTGAAATCTAAATACTTCAGTAGCCTTGTTAGCATGCTGTGTGCATATCGTTGACATTCCTTGAGCTATGGTATAACGATGCATCCGTCTTAGTTTTACTTTTGCTGATTTGGAGGCCAGTCAAGCTATACATTTTATGTAATTGTAACCTGTTAATATCAAATACGCCAATTTTTATCCATTTAAACTGATTAAATAATTAAGAGATGTTGCTTTGTTTTTGCGCATTAATGTACTCTCTCACTGTAGCAAACCACGACGGCTGGAACGACATCCACGTCACCACTCACAGAGAAGACCGCAGAGGATGCCCCTGATGCTTCAAAAGAGGATGAGATCAAAGAAGCGGATTTACTTGATAGCCCGGGAGAAATGAAAAAGGCACGGTTGGATATTCTATCGGGATCGCGACAGTAAATGTCATATCGTCTTGTTCCAGGTGGATCATACAGCTGTGCGAGAAAAACCGCGCATGAGCGTCTCGGGGACGTCCTCACTTCGAGAATTCGTGGACGAGATCGGTGAAGAGATCTATACTACTACAACACAAAAGGTACCTTTCATTTCATTCTGGAAAGTTTTTTCTGCTTCTCTCAGCTCCTCCACTCTGTCAGTAGGTGAAGCCATTCCGCATCTCACAGAGGATGTTCTCGGATACACACATACCACTTCCATCCAGGCTCGGATTTTGATGCGATTTAGCCCTACCTTATCGGAGGTGGTCTAGCAGCAAGTGGTACGCAGCTTTGCACGTACCACTTGCTGCTGCGCGATCAAATTCCAGACCGGCTCCCGCCGAGGCCAACTAAGCCTTCTAATCTTCGGAAACGATAAGCCAATGATAGTTTGGTCTGGAAAAATAAAACACTGACTTTTAAATGGGCTGGCCTCGAAAGTCGTTGTATCGGTCACAACGCATTCAGTAAGCCCCTACAATTCTGAATGGAGGTGGAAGCGTGCCGCATCCTGAAAAAGGATGGATCAGCGGCGAAGTTCATCCTTTTATGAGCCATACCTTAACTTGTAGATAACGGTCAATGTTCAGATCTGTATTTCGAACCGGTTCCCCTCATTCATTCTCCCAAGCTGGTCTAAAAAATACCATATGAACGCGATGGACCCAGAGGTTTGCTTGGCATTAGCCGATTTGGGATTCCGCCACTCCCATCCCTCGTCGTGCGTGTGGAAAAGGGCCTCACTTGCCTCGTAATCCCATTCCACCTCAAGAGCCACTTTCACTTGCTCATTTCTGAAATAACTTTGAAACTTTGGTGAAGAAGTGTTGCTCGCAACAACACTGATGAGCTGAAATGAGCAGTGAAGATTATTTATGCATGGCGATTTGACATCACTAGCAATATGTGACAAATGACAGTTTTCGGGTATCAGAAATCACCACCTTATCACGGCATCACAGAAGTGACTGTCCATTTCTATACGAGTGGTCAGCTGTGAAGACCTTGAAACGTAGCCCTTCTCTTGTCTATCCCGCAAGTCCTTACCTATATATTTCCCGGGATGGGAAGCCGAAATCACTTATCTAATAAAGTTCAGGATTCGAATGGGTCTCACATTGAGACAGAGTGAAGTTTACTGAGGTTAACTTGGGTCTCGATATTTCGCATCTACCAACGGGACAGTGTGAGATCCTAGTAAGGCTGCGTTTATACTTTGCGGCAGCGTAGCGTAGCGTAGCGCAGCGTAGCGTAGCGCTTCCAGCGTACGCCAGCGGCAGTGCCGAAGAGAGGATGCATATCGATCTAGCTTCACCAGCGTTTCTCGAGCGTTTCTCCAGCGGCACCAGCGTTTTGCTAGCGCTTGCAGCGGCAGGGAGTAGAGACTATGTGGCCGTGAGAGACGCGGAATCGACGTGTATTGTACTAAGGGCGAGTGAGAGACGCACGAGACCATATGGCCGTCGGAGACGCAGAAGCGATGTGCATTGACTAAGGGCGAGTGAGAGACGGGCAATCGATGTCTTTTGTACCCTCCAGCTCTCCCATAGTTCTTACTTCCGCCTGCTCGCTGCAAACGCTCGCAAAAACCGCTGGTGAATACCTGGAAAACGGTGCGTAACGCGTACGCGTGCCGCTAGCGTAACGCCAGCGTTTTCCGCTGTGACCGCGCGTGAAGCTAGATCGATATGCATCCTCTCTTCGGCACTGCCGCTGGCGTACGCTGGAAGCGCTAGGGCTGCGTTTATACTTTGCGGCAGCGTAGCGTAGCGTAGCGCAGCGCAGCGTAGCGTAGCGCTTCCAGCGTACGCCAGCGGCAGTGCCGAAGAGAGGAAGCATACATATCGATCTAGCTTCACCAGCGTCACCAGCGGCACGCTGGCGTACGCTAGCGTACGCCAGCGTTTCTCCAGCGTTTCACCAGCGTTTTGCTAGCGCTTGCAGCGGCAGGGGAGTAGAGACTATGTGGCCGTGAGAGAAGCGGAATCGACGTGTATTGTAGAGACCATATGGCCGTCGGAGACGCAGAAGCGATGTGCATTGTAGAGACTATGTGGCCGTCGGAGACGCAGAAGCAATGTGCATCGTAGAGACTATGGGGCCGTCGGAGACGCAGAAGCGATGTGCATTGTAGAGACTAAGGGCGAGTGAGAGACGCGCAATCGATGTGTTTTGTACCCTCCAGCTCTCCCATAGTCTCTACTCCCCTGCCGCTGCAAACGCTAGCAAAACGCTGGTGAAACGCTGGAGAAACGCTGGCGTACGCTAGCGTGCCGCTAGCGCCAGCGTGCCGCTGGTGACGCTGGTGAAGCTAGATCGATATGCATCCTCTCTTCGGCACTGCCGCTGGCGTACGAATGGCAAGCGCCTACGCGTACGTCTGCGCTACGTATCCGCCTACGTCTGCCGCATAAGTATAACGTCAGCCCCTACGCTACGCACGCTGCCCGCAAGTATAAACGCAGCCTAGAAGAGGCATCTAGAGGCTTGACCAAGCTAGCATCACCATATCTCAGAGCTAGGATAGCGGGCTGTGCTCCATTGAAGGCGGCAGCGCTTCTTCTCTCATGGGATGTCTTGTTCGGACCACTGTAATCTTGTCCCTGTTCAGCGCAAGAGAGGATGACAGTTATCTCATATAGAAAGGTGTTTTATTCCATGTTCCAATGAAAAGCGCAGCTACACTCTTTATCCACGGGAACTGGGGAAGGCGTACAGGTGTGCCCAATTGGAAAGTATTCACGAAGAACCCGTCTATGCTTTGAACTCGCATTGCCGTAGTCCGTCTAGGAGCAAGAGTGCAAACGGCACAGGTCATGTTACTCGTAGGACAACTGTCCATCTAAATCTGAATTCTATCAAAGCTGATTGGCGAGTTCCCAACAATGAAAAACTACGAAAACTTATGGCTGCCCGCGCACGCAGCCGCACCTACCGCGACTTTCAATGTATGCCTCTGTATATGGATCTTAAGCAGAGCCATAGTAATTCAATGCTACCGAAAAAAGCCCAAGCAACTCAGAGCGAACACTCGGGATCCCAGTGACCTTCTTCTTCCCAACAAGGTTTCAATACCGACAGCAAGGGGTAGAGGACCGTGGGTACAGAAATCTGAACCGGAGATCTGAGGAACAGAATATGATTATGGACATCACGTTTCAGGCGACAACAACTACTGCACAACCACGTCATGATGTGTACAAATTGCTAAGAACACTGAATTTAACCGAGGAGGAAACTGATAATCTCGTGAGCCATGTTGAGAAGGTTCGAAACAGATTTGTTTCTTCCCATTAAAGGATCACAGTTTATTACCTCTGTTACTATCTTCAACCCTTTGGTTATTTCCCGCAAGAGAAATCGACGGTGCGCTGAGAGGTCGTCTGATTCCCCCGAATCCTTTGCGCTTTTATCCTCACCTTTATTACAGTTTCGGAAGGACCTCATAACGTTGGCCTCTTTGACTAGCTAGCACCATTGTGACGTTGCGTTTACTTTCGTCAACATGAGCAGAACGCTCACCCTTCCAGTCCCTTCCCATACGGAAAGAAATCCACGGGAGCTAACGCGAATCGTGTACGTGGGTCCATTATCCGTATTGATGGCGAAAAGGGCGAGCACTAAGAAGACTCCGGTGCGAGGTGGCATTGACACAAGGATCACTTGCTGGTCTCCTAGTCACAAGGTTGTGCATCGAATTTACCTAATTGACGTACTGACTTCTTCTCTATAGGTGCAGTTTCGTACAGCAGCTATACAAGAGAACTATTCCGGTCGATAGTTTGGTCCCCTCTCGCGCATGTCTGTTCTTGACGGAGGGTACAATTTTGTGAGATCTTGCAATGATGTGTCATAAAGTGGTGCTTTTCTGTTCACACTTGCCATTACTCAAGCCCCTAATTCGTGGTGCGGATGCATGTATCCACCCTCCCATTACAATTGAGCCGCTTGCATTCCCGCCAGGGTTCAGCATCGTTGTGCGAAACCCATCGAAGGGGACGTATTTGGCAGTAAGGAGGTGGGAGGGGCGTAGAGTACTAAGTAGTCGAACAGCGCAAACAAGGTGTCATCGTTATGTTTTTTTTGGAGTGGAGCCAGCGCTAATAACTCTGGATACTGCAAAGACTATAAAAATAAGAAAAAGATTTGATTAATGAAATTTCATAGTAAGCACATTTTGCTGGGTACTATTATAAGAGTCGGAACAATACACGTCAAGATTCGTTGAGTCGACCTTTCCCGATCTGACAGAAATCTGCTTGTATGAAAGAAAACGCTTACCAGAGGTGCGGGCTTTCATTTTAATTCTAATTTTATTGTCTGGCATCGCAACGCGCTGTCGGATAGCGTTGCACGATTGTTACTATATGGTGGACTATTTACCAACTTTTCCACTAACAGCACCCACGCTATGGGAGCGTAGTGCACGGCGTAGACGATATCGATCGATCGATAATCAAGCTATGCTTCCATTGAGCTTAACAGGGATAGAATGTTAATACATATTTGTGTTTTCAAGGCATACTGGGTTTCTGAGTATTTCTTACAAATGCACTGAAGATTTCAAGTCTCTGAGTGGCTCAGAATTTTGAAACAAGAAAGTATAGTCTGACTACGCGGTCTTTTGGGAAAGCTGTTAGGTCCTTATCGAGCGCAGATCTGTCTTGATGGAGAGCTACAATGCGTGAATCTTGCAATGATGCTTTCATTAAAGTGGTGCTTTTCTGTTCACACTTGCCATTACTCAAGCCCCCTGCGAGTTTAAATATAACTGTAGCTTTTAATAATTCGTGGTGCGGATGCATGTATCACCTCACCATTACAACTGAGCGCTTCATTACCGCGCCAGGGTTCAGCTATTCGTTGTGACGAAACCACGAAGGACGTATTTGCGCCAGTAAGGAGGTGGGACGGGCGATAGCGTACGTGTCATCGTATGTTTCTAGAGTTGAACACAGGCGCATAGGACGATCTGATTATGAAAGACCATAAAATAAGCAAAAGTATTGTATTAAGAAATATTCATAGTGCAGGCACAATTTTTGACGTTACTCATAATAGATGCAACCAATACACGCAAGAGATTAGTCGGTCGACCTTCGCCGGAACCATACAGAGAACTCCTCTTGCATGAAAGAAACCCTTACCATTTACACCTTTCATACGCACACCACTGCATGGGAGCGTAGTGCACGCTAGACGATATCGATCCGATCTTAATCCAAGCTATGCTTTCTCATTGAGCTAAAAGGGATAGAAAAATATGATAATATATTTAATATGTGTGTTTTCAACTTCATACTGAGGTATCCAGAGTATTCTTACAATGGCACTGGAGATTTCAAGCTTCTGAGTGGCTCAGATTTTTGCCCGTCGAAAACCAGAAAGATATCTGGGCTAGCGGATCTTTTGGAAAACTGCAGCACTCCAAGAAAGAGGTGGAGAAGCGCTTTGTAAGGAAGTTTTTGCTTTTGCGAAAGATTGCAAGATATGAAAGAAGTTATGGTCGTCGAAGCGTAAAAATTCGCGTGCAATTAGCCATTAACTCATCTGAGACCCGTCCGAATATTTCTCGAAAAGGGGAAGATTCAGATTACAAGTAATAAAAAAATGCAATAGTAGAGCATTCACTTTAGCATGCCGGCTTCTTTTTCTAGGTAGCCCGCACCTGGAAACGCTGCGGTTCACCCTGTCAACCAGTCTGCTCCAGCGCTATTTCGAGCGGGCTTTCATTTTATTCTATTTTATTTCTGGAATCGCAACGCGGCTGCGATAGCTTGCAGATTGTTACATATCTGACTATTTTCGTTATGTACAACAATTAGAGCCAGTAGGAAGAGGTGTTCCCTCATGGGAGGAGGTGGCACCGTCACCGCCATTTCGCAAATCACAATACTGTACCCGGGGTGCAGAAACTAGCAGAGCATTTCTTGCTAGTTGACCTGACGCACTGCAGCGCTTACACGTCAAACCAATTTGGTCCTAGTACGAATGCCACACGAGACGCCATCGCGCCGCAGGGCTGCTACGTGAATCTCTCGAACTACAATGGGCGCTGAATCCTTGTTTCACAAAAGGTGAATTTGAACTGAATGGCAGTTTGAGAGAGGAAACAGGGATAACCTGACGCGAAACGAACTCGGGCAACTGGTGTAGCATTTCAGTTAAAATCCGGATAGAAACGCAAAGAGATTTTGAGGTGATGAGATCTTTGCTCAGGTCGTTCGTGAAGAATTGGTGAAGAAATTGGCGGAAACACGACTCGCTGCTCTGAACAACACTCGTACATCTGCGAGCCACAAATCAACGAAAGAATCGACCTTCACGACGAAAGCTGTGACTGAAGGTGAGCTACTTGTAGAGCCATTTCAACGCCGCAAGCCTGTAGGGAGACAGAATGGTCGACGACTGAAGGAAATGCCCGAGGGCATAGCAAGGCAATCGTCCAGACGCGGCGAACTGCGCAACAACCTGTATGAGGGTCAAAGCATTGTGCGAGAAATACGTTCGGCAACCGCACACTTACAAGAACGACGTCGCGGCCACGCCGACGGTTGTCTTGCACATCTTACGAAATGTTCTGCTCCATTCCTAACATTCTTTAGCTGTCTGTGCCGTTGTGTCCTTTACTAGCGACTGATGTGTTGTAATCTTGGGCATTCAGCCACAACTACGCCGGCTGAGAGAGAGGTCGAGGAACGCGGCGAAAGCCCTGTGAGGCCAACAAAGACAGACAAGGACTTGTTGATGCTCTTGCCGCGAAAGAAAGTCGAAACGGAAATCAAGCATCATCCGCCACGACTTGAAGACAGAATCCCTGAGGTATCCCTTCCTGCTTGAAAGCTATCTCCTTGTCATTTTAGGCCGAGAAATGAGTCAAGTTTTAAGCTCAACCAGGGTCTATTGATTAAGAAATCACTGTACACGTACCTAGCAGACTGCGTTCATGCAGCGTGGACGTCGAGCGTCTACCAGCTGCACCAACGTCTCGAGGCTTGGGAAGTATAGGTACCGATCTAGTGTCTACCACTGTCTGGCAGCGTGCACTAGCGTCTCCTAGCGTCCGGGAGAGGAGAGTATGGCGCGTTAGGGGGGTAACACACAGTTGGTACCCATCTATCGCACCATACTTTCTGA